CCGGGGCATGTCCAGCTCTCACCCCCAGCACCCCAAATCCTTCTGGGCAGGGCTGTTCCATCTGTTCATCCCCAGCCTGGGCTGSTACCAGGGAAGGTCCCAACCAAGGTGCACCACCAGCACTTGGTCTTATTAAACCCCATCAGATTCCCATGTGCCACTTCTTGACCTTGTTCAGGTCCCTCTGGATGGTGCCCCATTCTGCAGGAGGTCTCCTGCCCTGTCCTGTAGTGGACTGGTTTTCTCCTTGCTTTCTTTTGCTGCTGATCTTTTAGCAGAAGCTGCCTGTTGCCCTTCCCATCCCTTGCAGGTTTCCCTTCCCAACTGTGCCCTTCCTAACTCCCTCTGTGCCGTCATCCTCTATTTCTCCCAGGCAATCTGTCATTGCTAAAACCTTCTGTGGTGCCTTTGTAAGTTTGATGCCACTCAGAAGTTACCCATTTAGCCAAACTTGCCTCCTGCCTTACCTCCTTGTTTCTTCACTGTGTTCATATGCTTTAGAGAGGTTGCCTTTCAAATTCAGCCCTTTCTCCTGGGTCTCTTGGCATTTAAGGTAATTTATTTCTTCTAGGCTACCATTTACCAATTTCTTAAACAAGCCAAGATAGTTGCTGGGAAATTTAGGATCTTTATTCTGCTTTTTGCCTTCATTGCTTTCCTGAATATTTAAAGTTCTTATTTCTTCTCATAGTCACTCAGCCTAAGGCTGTCATCAGCCCTCATGTCCCTATCCATTTCTTCCCTAATTCATACAACATCTAGCAGTGCAACTTCACTAAAGGAGTACCTGCAGAAGAAAAAGTCTTTGATGTCTCCAGATTTCCTGTGCTCTGCTGCTCTACTCTTCCAGCAAGTGTCTCAAAATTCCTCCACAAAAGCACGTAATTATGAAGTTTTTTCCAGTTGTTTAAAGGCTTCATCCACTTTCTCTTCTCGACTGGTGTCCTGGGGTGATTTTATGATGATACTCTATTCTTGATCATCAGCTTTATGCCCAGAAATGGGTCCTGCAGCTTTCAGGTGGGCCCAGGGCCAGAGGTGGGAGCTGAGGGAACTTTGGTGTGGGCTTCATTCAAGCTCTCACTYTCCCATGTGCGTGTTTGAGTTGGAGGCATTGTTGCTTTTGGCCAGCTTGGTTTTTGTTACCTTAGGCAAGAAGTTTTCCCCTGGACTGTAGTATCAATTTCAGGGCGGCTTCTGTCATGTTTTTTTTGGATTGTTCAGCTTGGCTTTTGGTTTGAATCAGACCATTGGCAGGTGTTGGTCAGCGTGGACTGGTGGGGAAGCTGTGAGGACACTCCATCTCGTCCCAGACYGCTGGGAAAAGCTGAACCATTGAAAGAAAATACTCTAAATCCACCAGCTTTGTCTGCTGCGAAGAGGAGACCAACACTGGAGGTTCACCATGTTCCCACCTGTTTATATTTCTCCCCCCGAGCTGTTGCATAGATTCTTTCTTCCTCTCCCTAAACAAAGACATCCACCATTTTGTTCTTTCTTGCCACATGGCCAACAGTTTTTTCCCTTCTGGCATTTTCGGGGTTTTTTTGTTCTGCTGTGGGTGTGGGGGTGTGTGTGTGTGGGAGGGGTAAGGTTCTGACGCTTCAATATCTAACGCTTATTCATTTTTCTCCTGTGCTGTGCACCTTGTTTGTCAAATAAACAGAATTTTTTCACATTCACCAGCCAATATTCATTTCTTATCAGTGAGAAGGAATTGCTGAAATCCTTTTCTTTAAAAGAAACATTCACTCCAGAGCATTTTCTCCTAAAATTGTCTCTAAACCGAGACACTGGGCCCTTTGTGGTATATGTGAACCTCTTGTTTGTACCCCCCACATCCTGATCTGTGAGCCTTCATCCTTGACTCCTTGGATCAGTGATATGCTGGGTTGTTGAAATAGTGGGAAAACAGTGTGCAATATTCTAAGAAAATTTTAGACACCAAGYAAACTGGTGAGAAAATATATTTGCACACAAAAGGAATATCATCTTTTGCTCCCTGAATGACTTGAGATGAGTAATTTCCCYTCTCTGCTTCTCCAGGTCTTGGACTGTGAAGTCTCTGTGGTCCAGACGTACCATAATAGAGATAGATGTTGTGCAAGCACTGCTACCTTCCAAAGACTGCTGGCATCATTGCATTTGTATTCCTAAACGTAACTTGCATCCTCTCTTCATGGAGGCTGAGGTTTGGTGATACAGAGAACCTGAAGGAACACTTCCCAGTGAAAATGTAGGAAGGGAATGTCCCCATGCACAAAAGAAAGATTTGGAAGGAAACTTGGTTGCCAAAAGCATGTTTGTAGAGGATTTTCTCATTACCAGGAATATTGTGATTTTGGGCGTGACAGTGGGATAGACCCACTGCTCTAATTTTCTCTGCCAAGTGWAAGGATTTTGAATTTCTGTGAGTTACACAAGTAAGCTGTCTAGGACAATGAAACAGGATGAAGGCAAAAAGAAATGTAGATGARTGCATGATGGAAATAAATATTTAATTGTTGGAATTACTTATTCATGTGGAAAGACAAAAYATTTACTGTATTTTTTGGTCAGGAGGAATCTTTGCATAGTTTTGAACAACTGACATCTACTTAATTTGGTGTCAACCAAATTAAGTCAAGCCTTAGTTAATTTTTATGTTATGCTGTAGGACTTCCTTGTCTGGATTACAAAACAAGGAAATTCTCAATGCACTATATGCACTTTTCTCATTACTGTCCATGTAGCAGTACCCATTTTTAGGCTCAAATATGTACACAAAGGCTACAATGAGGAAAAAAATTTTTTTTCTAAACTATCCTGCTTGTAGTGTGCTTGTAAACTGTGGGGTTTCCCCTGCCACRTACTTCTCTGTGTTTTGCATTTCCAGTAGCTAAAAGCCACTTRCTGACAAGTTGTTCACTTTGGTTTTTTGCTTTCTCTGAGAATTGTGCCACCTCTCTTGACTAAAGTAGTTTTAAGAAGCAGTTTAAGCCACTACACCCTACTTTCAGTGCTGGTCAAGTTTAGCTTCTACCTTTTCTGCGACTTCAGGCTGCCAGTTTMTACAGATCAGAAGATAAAAGACAAATGGTTTGATTTATCTTAATGCCATTTTGAGCCTACTGCTCTAATCAGTTGATTGTGTCTACACAGGTACTTAATCTGGCATAAAACCCGACAAAAATAAAATGGACTTCARTGAACAAAGTGAGGGTTTGCAAAATCCATCCCTTGTTAATATCAGTGGCTGTGCCTTGTTTTAAACAAGACTRGATTTACTTTGATTTCTAGATTAGTGCAGGTTACACTGAGCAGAACATTTAATATATTGCATTGATTTTCCCTGTAATACTGTTGATACACAGGTCACTGCTCTAATAATTTGTTTTACCATTAGAATTCTGTATGCAGATCTAGTCCCCAAGGATATCAGTGTGTAACCAGATACTGCATGATCTAATCAGGTTCTGCAAGAAATATATTATCACTTCAACACTTAGAAGTAGAAAGCTTCATCAAAATGGAAAAGTTATCTAATATTTAAAGCAAAATGCAGTTCAAAGAGACAATTACAAGAAGCAGGTGTGTACAAAATTTAAAGACATTTCTCAAATTAAACAAGGCCAAATCYAAGCCAGCGTCTACGATGATGTGTCATGACTCAATTTATTATTAAAGAAGAATATGTTATAGCTGTTGCTTCAGTTTATAGGGTTTATTCCTGTTCAGGTTAAGTAGCATTGCTCTCAGAAATGACTGACTAGCAGAATTTCATTAATGTGATGTTTACTTGCTACAGCATGCATGCTTTGGAAAGTAATTTTGAAAAGCAACCACAAAAGCWTTGGTAACAGGCAAGACTAGTGCTCTGAACTCATTTTGATGTAGGATTTGGGTCTCTGAGCACCTAGTACTGCAGTCCATTTCTGGAACACAAGTCCTGCTGACCTTGAAGGAGTTTTGCARGTAGTGTGTCTGTCTCAGGCTGAGCAGCAGACCTGCTTGCTGCTGTAAGTCTGACCCGAGGCATCTTCTTCAGCTGGGATAGCAGGARAGTGGCTCTGCCAGCAGCTGGACAGTGTTTCTGTGCAAGCTGCCAGCTCTCAGCACCCGGTKTTCAGCAGGGAAATGGTTGACAAAGGTGATAAGCATCTTCTAGGGTCAGCTCATCTCTCCATAAAGCTGCTTTTATGTAGATGTCTTATGCAGAGCCTAGTTAATTGTGCTTTTCGTTTTGAGATTGTGAGTTTTTTTTAATGGACATGCCTTAAGACGAGACCTTTGTGTAGGGAAGTGCCATATGTATTTGTATTAAACTTTATGTTGTAGAAAATGGTAACTCCTGTACTTAGGCATGTGAAGTTTTACTCCCATTCTTGTGAAGAGCATGCAGCAGAGTTTTGGAATTTTATCAGTGAAATGCAATGCTATCCTTGGCTGTATCTGTTGTATTTGTTTAGCAATTGAAAGTAAATTATTTTAAGAGTAAATTTAAGAAGGAAAACAACGTTCAGTAACCTTGTGGATGACCAGATGAGACTTGAAATAAAGACCAGAAAGGTTATGTTCGTCTTTTTTCAACTCCTGTTTTAGCTGGCTAAAAAGGTGTGTGTGGAGCGATGTTGGCTTGTTTTGGTTTAGTCCTTTGGTCTKCAAACACTTCAGTGTGCAGGCCAGGGCCAGACTCTCCTCCTTGGCTCAAGGGATTTATTGTGTTACTGGCTTTGCTTTGACGTTCAGAGCCCACTGGGTTCATGGAGCCTACAGACATGGAAGAGAGTGGCTGAGCATCCAGACAAGCAGTGAAATAGACATTGCCTTTCCTTCAAGCTCCTACAAGGTTCTGGTGGGGCAAATGCTGCCAGACAAATGTGCTGTTGTTGAGGGAAGGTGCAGGGGAGGTGGTTGGTGAGTGTTGGTCCGCGTCAAAGTTTTTTTCAATGAGGAAAACCAACTGAAGACTTTTAATATATGAGTACAATGCTGATAATTTTTCTCTTGTTTTTTTTTAGGATCTCATGACTCTTTTAGCTTCTACATCGATGAAGCCTCTCCAGTTGGGCCTGAACAGCCGGAGACAGTCCAGAATTTTGTGTCAGTTTTTGGGACTGTGGCTAAAAAGCTGATGAGGAAGTGGTTGGCTACACAGACCATGAATTTCACCAGCCAGCTGGGGGCAGGTATAAGGTATTTTGATCTCAGAATTTCTACCAAGCCCAGAGATCCAGACAACGAACTCTACTTTGCTCATGGTTTATTCAGTGCCAAAGTCAAGGAAGGTCTGGAGGAGATCAATGCGTTTCTCACTGAGCACCCAAAAGAAGTGGTCTTCTTGGACTTCAATCATTTCTACGGGATGCAGAAATGCCATCATGAGAAGCTTGTCCAGATGCTCAAAGACACGTACGGAAACAAAATGTGTCCTGCTATCTTTGCCCATGAAGTCACCCTCCAGTACCTGTGGGAGAAGGAGCACCAGGTGCTGGTGTTCTACCACAGTCCAGTGGCGGTCGAGGTGGCCTTTCTGTGGCCGGGCCAGATGATGCCAGCTCCCTGGGCAAACACRACAGATACAGAGAAGTTGATTCAATTCCTGCAGGCATCAATCACTGAAAGAAGAAAGAAAGGCTCCTTCTTCATATCTCAAGTAGTGCTGACGCCAAAGGCTAGTACGGTGGTGAAAGGGGTTGCTAGTGGTCTCAGAGAAACCATCACAGAAAGGTGAGTTTGTGGCTGCTAAGGTGGACTGACTGTGCTGATTGTGTGTGTTGGTTGTGCTGGTTTTCTAATTCCTTTTAAAGATGTTCTAAGAGAAGATGTTCTTCCATGCTGTTGTGAGCTAGTCCGAACTTGGCATAATCCTAAAATATTTAAAGAGAAAGACAGTGAAGGGCAGCCTTTTGTATTCTTGAAAGAAAATCTGCCACTAAAGCATAATGAGATACTATGGGATTGGCTTAACTCTAACTTTTTTCTGAATGCATGTTTTGCTGATTTGTTTTCTAAATGTTTTTCTTTACCATAAGCATTGAATATCTGGCCTAAGATTTCCTTACTGGGAAATCTGCYTATGGATCTAGATAATTCAAGTTTTCATTTATGCATCAGGCTTCAGATGAATGGATAAATAATTATTTATTTTATCCAATAAATTAATTTATTGGAGAAATAATTTTTTGGCCTGGCTCATCAGCAAAGCCTGATACTGCAGAATTTGCCTTTACTCACCTCAAAGATGCATGGTTTCTCTGTCTCTATACCATCACACATTGTACTGGAGACAGCAGGACACCATTATAAAGAATTTGATTCCTAAAAGTCCTTTTTCATTTATCATACAAGACAGAGACTGCAGAGCATTGTATAGGTTCTTTACATGGACTAATGTGTTGACAGGCCATTAGTTGTTACATTACAAAAAAAGCTGCCTGTGCAAGACATGCATTATTTATACCATTCTGACTTTGATAAATCACAGTGAATTTTGARCTTAAAGGCATATATATGTGACTATTTCTTGACAACTTGGTAGGAAACTTGAAATTTCATGCCAAGACACAAGAGCTATTTTCTTTTTGTCCTTAAATATAAAGAAGGGTTGCAGAGTGTAAAGAAAATTTACAATGGGGGTCACTGGCCTGCAAATGTTTTGCTCTCTGCAAGGATGTGCTTGTGACAGAAAGGTCTGTTGGGAACATGTCCCCTTCTATGAGATGAAAGATGCAGTGTCTGCAAAGAAAACAAGCCTCGTATTTGAAAAAGGTTGAGCTATTTTTATAGCCGCTTTCCCAAACCACTGTTAACTTGAAAAAAATAGGGTAAAAACTTTAGCTGGCTTGGTAAAACACAGATGGAAATGGAGGGTTTTATGAGCAGTGGAATGTGATTTAGAAGTGCCTGTTTGACTGCACTTGCAGCTGTTGGTAGTCCTTGTCTGTGTTTTATGGGCACCATTGGATTGGGGAATCTCCCTCTCTCCTGAGTCAGAAGAGCACTTCTCTGTACTAAAATACAGCTTTGTGAATGGGTTTTACCAAGAAACATCTTGTTGTTAAGGGATTTTTCCTCTGATAAGCATCCTTCTGAGTGTTCTTTAGAATATGAAGTAGCACAATCAAGGCGCTAACGGGCTGTTCTCGAAGCTTGTTGTATCAACAAAATAGCCATTAAACCCCATTTTCTTAATCTTTTGCTCATAACAGTACTTTCTTGAAGCTGTTTGGAAAATAAGAACTTGAATTAGATGCTGAATATGTTTGACTGATTGCTTAATGTCCAGAGCAGTTGAACTCTTGGTATGCCCTTCTCAACAGAAATCCTTGAAATTGTAACTAACTACAAATGTCAATAAACAATTGGGCTGAAAAACCTAGAAATGTTGTTCTTCCAGATTTCAACTGAGATTTTTCACATGATCCCCGAGTGTGTGATCACATCTGCTATATGAAAAGTTGTTTCCTTCTTTGCATAATTCTTTTAGCCATTATGAGAGAAACAGACCTTCAAAATAATCTCCAAGGCTAATATTTAGTCTTCCAAGTGTGGCATCTCATTTTGAATTTTTATTTTTTCATACAAAAATGCACTGTAGGAAGAACAGGACTGGAATGTATCCTAATGGAGATAGAAATTGAGCTTATATTTTGAGTTAACGGCTCTAAAAGTAAACATCAAATATAATCAGAACTGCTCCCCATTTTATGATGATCCTCTTAAAAAATAAATAGGCAAGCAATTAAAAGATGAAGTACAATTCACACAGTAGAATTTGCAGGTTTCTCTTCAATCTCACTGCCTTAATGTTTCAGTGACTTAAAAGTATGTAATCCATGCAAAAGGTGCCAAGACAAATGGTCCAGCTGTGCCGTGTTTGCTGTTTTGAACCATCACTCAGTAAAAAGATTATTTTGTCCTTTTCAGAATAAATAACCAGATCAAATCGCATAACCAGATCTTATCGCACCTGTGTCCAGGTAGATAACATACATGCTTTTCTTGACAGTTACTGCATAGACTTCAATATTGTTTTCTCCTTATTAAGAAATGCTGATGAGGAGCCTTACATCAAGAACGCAGTTATCTTCCTTTTGCCAGCAGTTTTGTCAAAGTTTTCAAATAATTCGGGTGGGGGGGTGGGTGTATTTTTAAGTTTGGTGTGGTTTTTTGGGTTTTTTTCCTAAAGTAAGTTTGACATTTAAGAAATGTTTCTTTGGCATGTTGAATAAAACCTGTAGCAATTTGTTTCATTTTGTTTCTCCATCTGTACACTGGCCTTTTACWTATTGACTTAGTTCTGAAAATTAGAGAAAAATTTAGAACTCTCAGATCAATAAAACGTACCAGGTTTTACCAGGTTTACCAGGTTTACCAGGATCTCTGAAGTTGTTTGTTAATTATGAAATTGTTTATGACTTGAAGAGMAGTGGCTACCTTAGAGGGAGAGCATGGTTTCCCTCAGTCTGCATTCTCTGCACTCGGAAATCCGTGAGCAGACACCATGCAGAAATCCAACCCAAAATCCATTCCGCTGCTCTCTAGCTTATGTTGGGAAAGAGCACAGTGAATAAATACTCCCCTGTACCCAAGGTGTTTGGTTTAATGGCTTTTTGTCTGTGGTGGTGGAGGTTCACACTGCAGTAGAGCAGCCTTCCAAAGCAATGGATTTCAGAAGGAGAAGGGAAGTTATTCCTTAACCTGCTCCCCACAGTGCAGGTACTCAAGCTGTGAATGCACAGTAACCTCAATAAATAAAACAACAAAACAACAAAACATTTTCATGCTTCTAAGACACAATTCAGTGAAGATATAGCTGGACTGTTTTCTGCTGATAATGCTTGCTCACAGGCTTTGCTGTCATCACAGGTAGTGTTCTGTGGAACAGTAATTAGAAAGAAGGAGAAATTATGAAGTTGTGAAGCTTTCTGTCCTGCACAAATACAAGAGGTAAAAGCCATTTCTTGTAAGGTCTTCCTAGGACCACAGTAGCACAGATTTCACCTTCACTTCTTGAATGAGGAGAATCGCTTGCATGTGTGCACATTGTATTTCCTGGATTTCATCTGGATTTGATGAATAACTTTGAGGACTATCAATATGTTTTCAGGCTTAGCATTCTGTCACACACACAGTTTAGGAGCCAAGAAATTCTCTTTGATCAGCAAACAGTATATGCCAAATGAATTACTTTGGCTGTGCTCATTGAATTAACTTCACAGCRAGGCAGCTGCCTTCGGTATATCTGAAAGGTGGTTGTGAGACACCCTTTTGATTAGTGTAGAGCTGTTCTTCCTAATAATCTTGTTTGCTTTCTGATTTGCAGTGAAATTACTAATTTTATCTATGACACTTGAGACAAGCATGATACTCTCTTTGTTGTCTCTGTGGTTTAATAATACAGAAGAAGAATAGATCTCCCTCAGAGGATGCAGAAATTCTGTGGTACTTTCAAAAAATAGCAAATAAACACATACCCTGCCAATTGTCACTTGATTTCCAAATTAATCTCTAAGGATAATGTTCCCTGTGGCTCACATATGACTAAATCCTTGCCTACCATGCTAAAGCTCCCTCCTTAGCAACCAAACCAAATTTAAAAAAAAATATATCCTGCACATGAGAATGAACCTTTTAAAGTAGGGGTAAAGCATCCAATCCACACTATTAACAGAAGGGGTGGTAAGTAGGCCACAGAAGCTTTCAGGAGAAAATCCATCTCTGGGTACAGTCATGAACTAAGCAGAGTCAGATTTAGGTAGAAAATGGGTGAATATTATGTGAAAAATGATCCCTGAAGTTGCAAGAAGTGGGATTTTTTGAGTCAGTTACTGATGGTGCCACACCTTCGTCAGTTGAATTTTTGAGTTGCTGTGTGGCAGAAAGAGTGGGAATCGATCATATTTTAATCCACGCTTCATATTGACTGATGCCATTCTTAAACTATTTTATATGAAAAAGAGAAACAACAGAAATGGCAACTGTGGCAAGTGTATTTCCCTAATTGTCTGCATCCTTACTGATGATACCTTGCTGTCTGTCTCCTCTATGGGCTGCAGGAGAGCAGCAGGCTCCAGTGATCTGGTTCAGATTCTGGGGCTGCAGAAGCTGGTGTGTCAGCTCTTAGKCTGCCAAGAGGTGAGCGGAGACTCCGTGCCTCACTAATGTGTGTGGTACAAGCCTGCCTGCTGCACRGTGTTTGCCTTGGGACATGACTGTCTTTTTTGTTTTGTTTTGGTTTGGTTTTGGGGGGAGATGGTCTGGTTTGGTTTTTTTTTCTATTATTTCCGGACCCCAGAAGGCACAAAATGCATTCTGCTATATCAGTAGGCAATTCAAAAGCACTCTGGGCAATCCAGACAAATCCTTAGTATTTCYATTCTTCCTCAAACTACCCTTAATTACTTTTCCAGTCTTTCTACACAGGAGGCAATCTCTGTGTTTGCACACAGAGCAGCACAGAGAGATTTCACTGGAAGAATCTATTTGCCACATCAACAGGCCTGCACAGCAAACTCCCAAATGGGCTGTGTATGTGTAGTGGCATTTCATCATTGGACCATCTGTCTGCAGGAGATTTTTAGTGTAGCATTCCCACAGGAAGGSCTGTGTGGTTGTGTCTGACGGCTTTGGTCATGAACTTGAAATAGTATTAAATTGCCGCAAAATATAGGAGAACAGATTTTTAATAACCTTGTGGAAGTACTTGTCTACATAGTAGCCTGTGG